TGACTGCATCAAGGTCTAAATTGGGCTTGAAGTTGTAGACAGTGCACAGTTCACGTGCACTGTTCACTACTTCATCCCTTTTTCCATTTCCAATCTACGAAATTCAAACACACATCGCTACACTTATCCTCATTTTTACAACAATTATTTAATATATATTTATATGCATATATATAAAATAAAATGCGGAGTGTTACATTGACACTCCTCTTGATATCTGAAATGTTATTTTACTCCTATAGTGATATATATATACACCAAGAATGAATCAAATTGATGCNATATTACTTCGTTTTCAGGGCATACCTCTCTCATCCGAGCTCCGATTGAGATGATTCAAGATGCAATGGAAAGCTAAGAAAGAACTCTACAACTTTCATGTTTTGAGTTTTAAGAGATATTGACTGCATCAAGGTCTAAATTGGGCTTGAAGTTGCAGCCAGTGCACNTACACTTATCCTCATTTTTACAACAATTATTTAATATATATTTATATGCATATATATAAAATAAAATGCGGAGTGTTACATTGACACTCCTCTTGATATCTGAAATGTTATTTTACTCCTATAGTGATATATATATACACCAAGAATGAATCAAATTGATGCCATCTCTTCTCTCTTCCTATTTAAAATAATAGGCATTTCTTAGTGTTAAATTAATAAAATAATTTTAATTTAATAAAATTATATGTTAAAGTNATTGACACTCCTCTTGATATTTGAAATGTTATTTTACTCCTATAGTGATATATACACCAAGAATGAATCAAATTGATGCCATCTCTTCTCTCTTCCTATTTAAAATAATAGGCATTTCTTAGTGTTAAATTCATAAAATAATTTTAATTTAATAAAATTATATGTTAAAGTGATAAAATTAAATTTTGGAATTAAATTTTTAAAATTTAATTTTAAAGTAATGAAATAAAATACCAACATGGTGTTAATTTAAAAAAAAATTGAATAACAATTGGATAACATTGAATGTTGATTTGATAAAATTAAACATCAATTAAGCATTANTCATAAAATAATTTTAATTTAATAAAATTATATGTTAAAGTGATAAAATTAAATTTTGGAATTAATTTTTTAAAATTTAATTTTAAAGTAATGAAATAAAATACCAACATGGTGTTAATTTAAAAAAAAATTGAATAACAATTGGATAACATTGAATGTTGATTTGATAAAATTAAACATCAATTAAGCATTAATTTGATAAAATTAAACATTACTATGATATTAAACTAATAAAATAATAATAATTTTAATAAATTAATCTTAAATTTGTTAAAATAGAGGTTAATTTAATGAAATTAAAAATTTAATTTATAAATGTAATTTTTAATTTAATGTTAAGTGGATAAATTTGAAGGTTAATTAGATAAAATTACATATGAATTTTGTGAAACTGAATATTATTTTATTTTTTTAATATATTTTTTTTGTTTTTTTTTTGGAGGGGGAGGAGGAGGGGAAAGGGGGCTTGAACCCTTTACTTGAAAAAAGCAAAATCTTTACAAAGTAAAGAGTACCACTAGACCAACGGGCCATTGATAAAATATTATTTTGATGAAATTGAATATTCATGTGATAAAATTAAAATTCAATTTAGTGTGTTATTGATGAAATTAAATATTAATTTGATGTTAATTTAATAAAGTGATATTAATTTAATAAATTACATTTTAAATTAATAAAATTTAATATTAAATGAATGGAATTAAATTTTAATTTGGTGTTATTATTGAAAATATATTTTAACAATAATTTTATAAAATTGAATAGTAATTTGATGAACTTTNTGGAGGGGGAGGAGGAGGGGAAAGGGGGCTTGAACCCTGTACCTCAAAAAAGCAAAATCTTTACAAAGTAAAGAGTACCACTAGACCAACGGGCCATTGATAAAATATTATTTTGATGAAATTGAATATTCATGTGATAAAATTAAAATTCAATTTAGTGTGTTATTGATGAAATTAAATATTAATTTGATGTTAATTTAATAAAGTGATATTAATTTAATAAATTACATTTTAAATTAATAAAATTTAATATTAAATGAATGGAATTAAATTTTAATTTGGTGTTATTATTGAAAATATATTTTAACAATAATTTTATAAAATTGAATAGTAATTTGATGAACTTTAATGTTATCTTGATGAGATTGAAAGTTAATTTTATGAAACATAGTGTTTATTTGATAAAAGTTAAGATCGATTTCATGTTATTAATGAAATAGAATATTGAATTGGTAATAATTTGGTGAAACTAAAGATTGATTTGAGGAAAATTGAATATTAATTCCTCAATTACTAAAAGTGTTACAATGTGACATTTTTATTAACTTTTTATTAGTTTTTTCATCAGTGTCAATAGGATTCTTTTTGACAAAAAAAATAATGAAAACTAACGGAAGGATCATATTATAATATTTATGAAACATTGAGGATATAATGTGAAAAATTTAATTTTTTAGGGTGTAAAATAAAAAACTAAAAATCTTTCAGAATTCAAAATTGAAAAAATCCAAATAAATATAATAATGTTGTTGCATGCACTCTGACCCCTTAAAAAACATCTTCAAGTAGATTTGAAAACTGCAAATGAAATCAAGCTTTTGTGCCGAGTTAATTGAAAAAATTTTGGTGTATATAGTNAATAATGAAAACTAACGGAAGGATCATATTATAATATTTATGAAACATTGAGGATATAATGTGAAAATTTTAATTTTTTAGGGTGTAAAATAAAAAACTAAAAATCTTTCAGAATTCAAAATTCAAAAAATCCAAATAAATATAATAATGTTGTTGCATGCACTCTGACCCCTTAAAAAACATCTTCAAGTAGATTTGAAAACTTCAAATGAAATCAAGCTTTTGTGCCGAGTTAATTGAAAAAATTTTGGTGTATATAGTAGAATCATTAAGAACGAGATGTATACTCATATTACCTTAATCATATCTATTAGTAGAAATAGAGTCTATTTTAGAGGTCCAAATAAAATTTTCTAATAACTGGGATATTAGTGAAAAGTAATATTTTTTTCTTGTAATAAAGACTTTATATTATATATTACTTATATATCACAGGTAGCTTTTGGGTACATTCCATTGAATATTAATATGCACCCGTCATCAGCTTGAGTATACTAATTTACCAATACGTTCGTGGATTGGTTGATCTTCTGTATCTCTTGCTTAACTTTTTCTTTCTAGAATAGCATTGATCATTTTGCCATATATTTTTATGATCTCGTGTAATAGAGGTGAGGTGGAGAATTTCTCCAAATATGATTATTTAAATTTCAAGTATAATTATTTTCATTCTATAAAAGGAAATTTGAATTACTTAAAGAGGAAATAAAATATATATGTATACAAGTTTAATTTCATTTGGTAATCTAAATTATTCTCACAACTTTATTAGACTTATTAAGGCAGCTGTATTAATGCTGTAACAGTTGAAAGAGGAATAGTTAGTTCTAATGCATTCACTTAATGATATTTCCATAGAGAAATTATTATTATTATTATTTTTATTTATGAGACTATAAATGCAATTAGAAAAAAAAGGAGACATTTCCCAAAGAAAAACTGATTCTAGTGGTGAGTTTTGTAACCATCTCCTTGGAAGTTTGAAGCATATCTCCTTGGAAGTTTAAACCTCATCTTGTTTCCTCGACTACCTGTAAGTTGAAAAATACAACTACAAAATGTTGGAAATGAAATGGTCAAAGCGTAATCCTATTACGACTTAAAATCTAATCTAAATCTAATCTAATTCTCTGACTGACTCGGTATGTGAACAAGTATGATTTAATAACATTGTATTACAATATCAAGTGTTGAATTTTTTTTCATTGTGTCGAATTATTTTAGAACAGGGCGACAATCTCGATATTATTATTTTTTTATTTTAAATAAAAGAAAGGGAATATTAGCCATGGGTATTTCTGTACTTTCAATTGGAAAACGCTCCATGCACAAAGAGTGGTGCTCATAGCACTTCTCATCTCTAATATAATATTTACATGGCCATGATATATATATACACACACATGAATGTTTGTGAAAGTTAGAGCAGATAGCTGCTGGAAAACATGAATTCACCGGCAACAATTTCTTGTAGAGACACCATTTTAGACTTTGGAAATGGAAGCTACTGACAATTCTGACTTTTACTATAAAGTGAACACACAAAATTATCAATAATTTCAAAACAATTAAATTATGTTTATTAAATCTTCTATCCCAAATATTATAGGATTTTTCGTATTTTACACCGTTATAAATTTTTTATTTTATATCTTTAAAGATTAAATTTTATACATTACACCTATAATATATCAAAAGTATTACAATACNTATTTTAAATTTTTAAAGATTAAATTTTATACATTACACCTATAATATATCAAAAGTATTACAATACAGTCCTTCTATAACTTTTATTATTTTTTTGTCAAAAGTTAACTTATTGACATTGATGAAAAAATTAAATATATTGAGGATATAATATAAAAAATTTAATTTTTAAAGATACACAATAAAAAACCTAATATCTTTTCCGTGCAAAGTGCAATTCGTCCAATATAATAAAACAATCTTCAAATATTAATGGGACCGCGGTTTAACTCTCGTTGTTCCCTTCCCTTATAATAGTGTTCGACTAAAAAAAATAAATGTTAATGAAAAATATATCACATTAATAAAAATTTAGTAACAGTATTTGATAAACATGTATGAAAAAACCCACTGTAAATTCAGAAAATCAAATTAAATAAAAAAAAAAATAAACCCACCGCATGTCCTCTATTAATACTGGCCCTATTCTTCCATCTGCAAACAGACAGACACAGAGAAAGAGAGATAGAGAGTGCTCTTCATGAGAGTTTCTCTGAAGTCTGAAAATTTCTCCAATCGTCTAAGCTAAACCAGAGAAGCCCAAGAAAAAAAGTGATCAAAACAATCAGTTTCAATCACTATGTGCAATCCAAACACCACACCCACCATCACCACTGATCAAAAACCCTCACACCCACCAACGAAAACCCATTTCTATCTTGATCTGCTACCACCACTCACCACCCCAAAACACCCAGAAACAACCGTAAAACACGGAGAAAAGCCAACCCAATTCTCTCTCCCAACCCCCTCAGAAATCATCAATGAAACCAAAGCACTATTCCACCTTTCTTTTCCCATCGCTCTCACAGCTCTAATCCTCTACTCTCGTTCTATCCTCTCCATGCTCTTCTTAGGTCACCTCGGTGACACAGAGCTCGCCGCCGGCGCTTTAGCCATCGCCTTCGCAAATATCACCGGATATTCAGTACTTTCCGGCCTGGCTTTAGGCATGGAACCTCTCTGTTCACAAGCTTTTGGAGCGCAACGGCCAAAGCTTCTCTCTCTAACAATGCAAAGATCAGTCATTTTTCTTCTCTTTTCTTCAATACCCATCACATTCCTCTGGCTCAACATTTCAAAAATTCTTCTTTATTTACACCAAGACCCCAATATCACCGGCTTGGCTCACACATATCTAATCTTCTCACTACCTGACCTTTTGACCAACTCCCTCATTCACCCAATAAGAATTTACCTTCGCGCACAAGGGATCACCGTCCCCGTAACATTGGCAACTCTCTCCGGAACGGTGTTGCACTTGCCGGTCAATTACGTGTTCGTTTCATGTCTCCGGCTAGGCGTGGCTGGTGTCGCCGCTGCATCCGCCGCGTCGAATTTCATTGTTTTGTTGGCGCTTGTAACGTACGTGCGGGCGAATGACTTACACGCCCCAACGTGGACGAAACCGAGCCGAGAGTGCTTGACTGGCTGGAAGCCGTTGATTAAGCTGGCAGCTCCGAGCTGTATTTCGGTGTGTCTCGAGTGGTGGTGGTACGAGATCATGATCGTGTTGTGTGGGCTTTTAGTGGAACCCAAGGCCACGGTGGCCTCCATGGGTGTTTTGATCCAAACCACATCGTTGTTATATATATTTCCGTCGTCACTTGGGCTTGCTGTGTCAACTCGGGTGGGTAATGAACTCGGTGCGAATCGACCCAATAAGGCTCGGGTCTCAGCTATGGTGGCGATACATATAGCGGGCCTAATGGGTCTATTCGCCATGATTTTCGCATCATCAACGAGGGATATATGGGCCAGGATGTTTACAGATAATATGGAGATCCTACGGTTCACATCTGCTGCTTTGCCAATATTAGGACTATGCGAGCTTGGGAATTGTCCTCAGACCGTTGGATGTGGGGTTGTACGTGGGACTGCTCGTCCGACCACCGCAGCGAACGTGAACCTCGGAGCATTTTATCTTGTGGGCATGCCCGTGGCAATTGGACTTGGGTTTTGGGTAGGGGTTGGATTTTGTGGGCTTTGGATTGGGTTGCTTTGCGCCCAAGTTTGTTGTGCTGGGTTAATGTTGTATGTTGTTGGGACTACGAATTGGGATTATCAAGCCCTGAGAGCACAAGTGCTCACGTGCACAGGACTCGGTGAGACTGCACTTCCTCATGATTGTGACAATGAAAAGGAGTCGTTGATTTGCATAATGGTTACTTCATCATGATGATCAAATGTAAAAACAGGCACCCAATTTCTTTTTTGATTTTTTCTATAACTAAGTTTGATTGTGAATTACTAATTCTTTGTGAAAAGTTTAAGGGTTTTAGTAAAAAATGATGAATGAGAAATTTTGATTGTAACCTTTCTTATTTCACTACTTTGGTCTCTGTCTCTGTATCTCTCTCTCTCTCTCTCTCTCTCTCTCTCTCTCTCTCCCTTCTGTTGTATAGAGGGGTATTGTGAAAGCAATTTTATTTTTTTTCGGGATTCATGGGGTTGGAGTTATAGAAAAATATCATCGATCATCTGAAAGTAAACTATATATATCTTAGTCTTGTGCATTTGATTTTGATTTTATGATTGTATTCTGTATTACTAGAACTAGTAATACATTTGAGTTTTGATTCCTAGTATAGGTTGTCTCCAAGCACGCAACCACTTCTGTTTCCGAGTTTCAAACATGAGGGTAACTTTGTTCCTTCCATCATGATGAAATGACATAGTTTTGGATTGATCCCACGTAACAACATTGAATGGCTTGGGCAATGTCTAATCAATTGGGACATATGTTGTTGTCTTATCTTTTACTTTGATTTGTTCCTCTTTCAGTTGGACTTTTCCGCCTTGCAATAGTGACTCGTATAAAATACATGGAAGCACCTTAATTTCTCAAAATGGTCCAACTCAACCCCCTCCTCTTGTGGAGTGAGTTGAGATAGCAAAATTTTACAGGTTAATATCAGAAGGTACCGAGTTTGAGTTGGAGTTGGAGTTCGAAATTGAGATCGAGTTTCAAGTTGAAGTTTTCAATGGTCTTATGTGCAAGGAAGAATGATCTCAAATGCCAAGGTTGGTTGAATATACGAGTTGCTTGCAGATAAATGAAATTGACTGCACAAATTGCTTACCTCTTGCTGTTGAAAAATGAGCAGGTTTTTCCTGGTTTTAAGGAAAATTAAATGGGTTCACACTAAGAGTTAAAAATGATCATAGTTTGATATTAATCTCCAGAAATTTTTGGAATTGAAGCCCAAAGAGTGGACATATATTTCATTGATCAATTTATACTATTTTTCAAAGCAAATATTGAATAATGTTTTGGAATACCCAATGGTCTCATCTGCATTGAGAAAAATAGGTAGTCTCTAGCCTATCTATGTTGGTGCAAAGAGTATATAGTGTTGAAGTACAAAAAGAAATAATTAGTATGATTAATTTACTCTATAATATTCTTATCGAAACCTTGATTATATAAGAACTCACGTTTTTAACAGTAAAGACAAAAAAAATAAAAATACGAGTTTAAAATAACTTTTATGAAGATCACAGTTACTTCTAATAAAAATTTGAAGCCACTATAAATGAGAAAATTGATCGAAGGTGATGATAAGTAGGAAGAAAACTCCAATGATCTATGTGCTTCATTTTCATCCTTACGATATGGATTGAAAAAAAAAATCTGAAAAAAACACAGTGCCCATGAAGGAAAAGACATCAGCAGCCCAGTCAGTCAGTCTATGATTGAAGCTTGAGAGGGAAACAAAATAGGTTCTTGTCTGTTTTGTTAGTTGCAGAGGCTCTTTATGCAGGTTCTTACACGCCGAGAGGGGGGGGAGAGATCAGTACCAGCAGCCACCACGTTTGCCTGTCCAATCTACTTGTGGCCTGTCAAATCTACTTTTGTTGTTATATCACATATGCATTTAAGCTGCTGTGGCATCACTATTTCCATTCACTGTATTATAAAAATATATTTTTTTATCTCATTTTTTTTTACTAACCATACAGCAAAACTGTAAATTTAATTTAATTATATTATTTTTTTTTACTTACATCTTTCGATATCCTATCAAAAAATTAAGTGTGGCCATCATAACTTATCATTCCGAGATTTTTCTCCATGTCAAGTTAATATTTCATAGTTGACTTCTATTACGTTTAATATAAAAAATTTATGTTTTGATTTGGATTAATTAAAACAATTAAAACTTTAAATCAAGTTATAATTTAGATAAATCATGTTATAATCCAATAAAATATATTGCAATTAATTCCATAATTTTATGTTGATGGCATTATAGTTGACTGTATTTCAGGTTTGTTTTTCAAACCTAATACTTTGGATTTATAACTTGCCTCAAATGCTTTTCATGTACATGAGTTGGGTACGGTACGGTGGTCTCTCTGTCACGCTTTGTCTATACCCGGTGTTGAAGATAAGGCCGTGGACCAACTGCTCATTATAGGGGGGGTCTCAAGCTGTGAAATCCATCAACTTTTCATTCAAATCCACAAATCAAACGTGTGGAATTTTCCACTGTGATTCAAAGATTGAAATTAACCAAACAAGACAAACAACAACGACATACGAATTCAATGATCCAAAAATAGATTATTCGAAACACTTTCTCGTACAAAANATACGTGTGGAATTTTCCACTGTGATTCAAAGATTGAAATTAACCAAACAAGACAAACAACAACAACATACGAATTCAATGATCCAAAAATAGATTATTCGAAACACTTTCTCGTACAAAAGTAAGATATATAGTACGTAAATCAAACTGTCACAAAATTTTAGCGAATTGTATCTTAAAAAATATATTCAAAAATGATTTTTTAAAAAAATAAAAAATAATAAAACCTATTGGAACAATTATTCATCCCCCAATTTTCATCTTATTACTCATGTCGTCCTTCTCTCTCGAGTCCCATCTCTCTATCTTTCCCTTTTCTCTCTCTCTCTTATATCCTCTCAACCTCCACCTCCACCTCCATTATCTCCTTTGTCTTCGCTTCCTTCACACCCACACANTATTATATCCTCTCAACCTCCACCTCCACCTCCACCTCCATTATCTCCTTTGTCTTCGCTTCCTTCACACCCACACATTCACACAGTACACACACCCATCACCCGGCAAACACACACCCATCGGCCAACAAACACACAAAATCCACACATTCACAGTACACACCTTCGTCACTCAGCAAACACACCCACACATTCACACAGTACACACCCCCATCACCCGGCAAACACACACCCATCGGCCAACAAACAGACAAAACCCACACATTGACAGTACACACACCCCCATCACTCAGCAAACACACCCACACATTCACGCAGTACACTCACCCATCACCCGACAAACACACACCCATCGGCCAGCAAACACACAAAACCCACACATTCACAATACACACACCCTTGTCACTCGGCAAACACACCCACACAGTACACACACCCATCACCAGACAAACACACACCCATCGGCCAACAAACACACAAAACCCACACATTCATAGTACACACACCTTCGTCACCTGGCAAACACACCCACACAGTACACACACCCATCACCCGACAAACGCACACCCATCGGCCAGCAAACACACAAAACCCACACATTCACAGTACACACACCCCTCCTCACTCAAGAAACACACACACACATAACCAACACACTAATGATTAAAATTTTGTTTTGGTGCATTATTTCGGACACTTAGGAAACAAAAATATTTCAACATGTTTCAAAAATGTTTCAACTCGTTTTATAAATATAATAAAAAAAGTAAGAATTAGTTTGTCAAAACATTAGTCAAAATATACCGAAATATATTAAAAAAATTCTGAAATAATTGTGTAAATGCATCGAAATATTACAAAACACCTCAAGTTATTAGAATTTCAATTCTATCACTAATTTGTTTCATCTCCTTGAAACCCAAAATGTTTTGGATGTTTCAAAAAGAAAATTTAATCCTTGCCACATACACACATACCCCCATCGCCCAACAAACACACACACACAATGAAACTCTGCTCAATTTCAACGAAGCAAACACACACAAAAANACACCCCCATCGCCCAACAAACAAACACACACACACACACACACAATGAAACTCTGCTCAATTTCAACGAAGCAAACACACACAAAAAAAATTGAGAAGTGTGTTGATGTGTTGATTGAGTAATCTGACATTGTGGTCGTGTATGAAAATAATGTTTTTGAGTAGAAAAAAAAATTGGGATGAATTTTGTACCATTAGATTAAAGTAGATGAAAATTAGATCAATTTTAACAATTTTTGTGTTTTTATAAGTTGAGAATTCAATTTACTAGCTGTAATATTAGATAGATTAGAAATTGTCTGTGAAGCATGAAGATATCAAGAGGGATAATGGAAGATATATTGGTTCAAGTGGATAGATTTTGCATTTCTGTTAATTTTATAGTTCTTAATACTTTACCTATTGTTAATCATGCTGCTCAAATCCCAGTTATTTTGGGAAGACCATTTTTTCCACATCTAATGTCATTATCAATTGCAAGAACGAAATCATAGAGCTCACATTTGGAAACACAAAACTGGAAGTGAGTGTGTTCAATGTGATTAAGCAACCAGGTGATGAGAAAGAATTCCGTGAGGTGGAGAAAGTGGATGAGATTATAGAGGAAAATTTTAATAATTCTATTTGCTCTGATCCTTTGCAAACTTGTCTAATTAATTCTATACTTGATGAAGAGAACTTTGAGGCTATTTTGTATACTGATTTTCTAAATAATTCGCAGGAGTCATGTGGAGTAGAGAGAAAGACACGATAGATAGGATAGATTTTATTTAAATTCTTTTATATGCTAATTTTTCTTTTCTTTATTTTTCAGTTTGTTTGATTTAAGAGCTTCATTTCAAGTGTTCTCTTTCCCTTATATTTGCAATTGTCTCACTGTATTATCATTGTTGCATCGAAGACAATGCAGATTATAAGTTGGGGGGTGAGAATTACACCATTGCTTTGTTCATTTTTAGATGTTTTAATTGTTTTCGTAGTTTTTGGTAGTTTAGTGGAATAATTGAATTTTTTTTGAAAAAATATGTCTATTTTGCATGAAATTTGTTGTTCTTAAGAGCT